GTATGGATAATTAAGAAAGATAACTATGAAATTTGTGCATATAGGTAAGATGTAATATTAAATGTATGCATTTTTTTTTTTAGTTGAACTATATTGAATGTTATATTCTGTAGGAAACTTCAGTTAAAAATATAAGGTTTTATAAAATACAAACTTTAATAAATTTTTAAAAGGTTGTAATAATTTTAACAAAATATTTTAGAAGAATGAAATTTAAGATAAATTAAAAGTGATTTTATTTAAGTATTATTATGATCAATTTCTGTTTATCAGAAATATTAAAATTCAAGTCATTCCTAATTTTTATTATCTGACTGACACTTATGGAATTTGCAAAAGATGTAAAAATAATAAATTTACACTTACTAGTAATATTTAAATTATAAGTAATGTAAATCAAAATTAATACAGTAGAAGTTTGTTAATCATGCACCTACATTATCTGAGTGGTCCCAGATTACTTTTTTGTATATTCAGAAATTAAAATAAAACATTTATTATGCCCAAATGATAACACATATTCAGTATTTCATTTAAAAAGCAAATTATACAACAACCAAAAGAATTTTTTTATGATTTGTTTTATGTGAGATTCTTCACTGTTAATCACATGATTAATATGAACTGAAAAATTGTTAATCATAGAAGCAAGTCCATCTTTAGAAATCAGTATTTCAGTTTAAATTACTGCCATTGGGTCAGTGAGTTTAATCACACTTTCACCCTATACTTAATGCAGAATGCTCTGGACTGTTTCCAGGATGTTATTTTTTATGTAATATTGTTGGACCAAGAATCTGTTCTTCAAGGCTGTATGATACCATATTTGCATGATACACAATACTGCAGTATGACTATAAACACATGGACAGACTAAATTTTGTTATTAAGTGCCAAAGTTTCCTATAAACTTTGGAACCTGTAAAATAAAGACATAAAGAGAGATTGAGATTTCTTTTTGTTAACTCCTATTTTTACACCCTGTACATCAGTTATACATATGTTTATGGACACAAAATGTGTCTTAGCTCTAACGTTGCAGGCATTTCTGATGTTGACCATGTCCTTCATAAGGAGTTGTCCATAAGCTCCCATACTGGAAGTGAGGGAGGGGGTTAAGACAAGTCAGACAAGGTGGGAGGGGTTGAGCTTAAATTTATTATTTATTTCATTAAATTTTATACAGTTTATGCATTTCATTATATTTATTTCAAAATTTCTTGTATGTTTCATTTCTACTTATGGTATCTATCATTTGTAATGTGATAAAGGTTTTATTACTTTATGAGTGAGGGGAGGTCGAATTTTGTTGGATGTTCGAAGAGGGGAGGAGGTTACAGAAACTTGGACAAACAGGGACAAAAGGGAGGAAGAATAAAAATTTCAAGAAAAATGCAGTTGTAATTTATGGACAGCTCCAAAGACAGTGTCCTGATGAAGTTGACAGTTTATTTTTTGATCCTTTCAAGGGGAAAAAATGAGCCTCAACTCTAAACACATGTTTTGTGATGTGTAATTACTTTTAGTTTTACTTTCTTTGCATAGTAGGGCTTTAGCACACATCCAAACAAATTTCAATTCATGGAATACTGTCATATAATATTATTTTTGGACAATTCCAGATTATCAGCTGTTTTCAGAGGATGTTGGATTAACAAACTTTTATTATAATAATAATCTTGGCGAATTAATTAAAATTTTTTAAAATTACAATTTATTATTCATTTTATTGCAAAATTATTTTGATATTATTATTTGATACATATTTATTAGATATTAAGCAAAAGTCAAGTTAATAATTTCAAAAGTTATTATTATTCAAAAAAATTCTGGAAATATATTTTTATAATTTTAATTTTTTTCAGTTGTTGGATAGAAATTTAAATTCTAATTTTTTATTGATATAGGGGAAACCCTAAAAGATACAAAGAAAAAAGGTCGGTAAAAATTAGTATCAACTTTTTTTAATGTACTGTTTATTAATATCAATAGCTTTAACAAAGTTCTCATAATATTTAAATGATTGCTAGGGAGCTTTGTCTCCTGCATGCCTTACATCATTCTACAAATTTTGTCCATTTTTTCAAAAATTTTATGACAATTCGTGGATTTCCTGTGCTGCTATTTCTATTTTTTTTCAGGTCACCATAGGAAGCCCATTCCCCTGTTTGCTTTACTCACATGTTGCAATTGACTTTGCCCACTTGCTACCAATATAAATTATTCATAAAAATTTTGTGGTTGATTCCTGTTTTTTTAATGGAAAAGCATTTGTGATGATTTTAATAAGCTAAATAGTTTAAATGCTCTATTTAGCAGAACAGATATGAACTTTGTTAGAACTGTTTTAACAAACACTTTCTAAAAATTTTTATATGAAAGAGTCTGTTTTTTGTAATTATTATTATTTAGTATATCACTTTTAAAAACTTGTTCTGAATACTTTAAGACTTAAGTTTCATTATAAAGTGAACAACAGAACTTTGATCTCTTGACAAAAATTATTAAAGTTGGAATATAAAGAACATTTTGATTTATATATTTTGAATTTACTAGTTTCATTTGTAACATTATTCATAAAACTTCTTAATGAAGTATATATTGAAAAATAAAAATTTCTTTTAATAGCTATGTAAAGTGTATAACCTCTTCGGTTCACTATTCCTGATGACTTCTTATCAGTTTTTAAATTTAATTGCTAAACTACACCATTCATTACACTATTTCATTTTTTTATATGCCAGAATGTAAAAAACAAAACTACATTTCAGACCATTGTCCCTCATCAGCTGATCTATAATAATATATTTATTAAATACATAAGTAAACAGTACTATATTAATATAATATTACACAAAATTTTATGTAACTATTGATGAAGTTTCAATAATCAAATGGAAGTTACTTTCTGGATAGTCTTTATGTTAAAACAGTCTATAAACAGTAATCTAGAATCAATATAAACCATTCATTGTAGATTTTTTTAATCAGTATTTAAGAATCCAAATGTCAGATGATACATTTTAGATAGTGTATTTAAATAAACATTCCAATTTTTAATTTATCACGTAGAAAACAAATTAAGAAAGTCAGTTTTCTTCTCTAAATTTTTCCCAGATATAATTAGTTAATAACACATGCAATTATTTATTGTGCCATCATCACAATGCTGGGCTGCAATTTTTAATTTATTTAATTCAAAATATATGCTCTCCATCTCAAATTAGTAGTGGATTGCCCCTGTACATCATACTTTTCCTTTAACAATAGAGTCATGCCAATCATCTATCTAACACCTTTCAGGGGAAAATTTTTGAATTGAAATAACATGACTTCCAGTTTGCATCAGAAGTTTCATAAACAGTTAATCAGGGCATCCTGCCCCTAAGTTAACTATAGATTAGAGAACAAAGTTAGTTAGATTAAAGATGAGACCATATTTTGTCTGATCTTTCATCTATCTAACTCCGTTCTCAGGATTAAGGAAAGACAGTGGACAGATGACAGTGAAATTTATAGGCATATAGTTCTTTCAAATTGCAGCTCAATAAACAACAACCCAATTTATTTGTATCACCAAATGATCAGCTTGATTATCCATTATCTACTAATAATCTGATGGTTAATCCGACATGTTGTTTGGCAATATAATTAGTGAAATTTAATTGAGGATTATGTTTGTTATCTTCAAATGTTTAAAATCTTTGTAAGTTTACCATTTCTAATACTTACATTATGAAGATTAAATACTGTAATTTATTTATTAGATAAACTAGTCAATAAAATATCACAATTATATATCATAATTACAGTTCAGGATTTATAATAAAAAGATTATTTTTATATTATTCATTTTTTAAAAATTAAAAATACTGTATTAATAAATAAAAATTTAAACAAATACTTGCTGTCTAGATATTAAACAACATATAAAAGCAGTCTGAAATGAAAAAGAAGTTTTGAAACTAAAGAATAACAAAGTTTATTATATGAGTAATAGTTTATTATTACATCTAATTGTCATAATGCATTTTTAAAATAATTTTTTATGTCAATTCAGTTTTAGTTTAGTTATATTGTATATTAAGTTTGAATGAAAAAGCTTGAAAATAAAAAAATTTTCAATCAATTCCTCTTGAAATCTCACTTTTATTGCTATATTATTTTTGAACATGCTACTGGATATTTAAAGTAGATGATTTTAAATTGTAAGTTGAATAAGTTCATTGATGATATTTGAAATTTTTCTAAATACAGTGGTGGACAAAACTTTAAAAACAAGTGAAAAGTCCACTTAAACAATTAACTTTATTAGAATTATTGGTTCAATCATGTTCATATGCTTTAAAAAAGTAAAATAATAGGTTTATATAATAATGAAAGAATAGTGTTGGAATATTTCTTCCAAAAAGCAGAAGACTAGGTAATTTATGTTGACAAAACTTTAAAGACAACTGAAAATAATCGATCTAAAATCTTGTGGACTCTCCACTTTTTTAAATATCCTCAAATATGTTATCTGATATATTTATAATAAATGTTTTGAGTGTGGCAGTTGGTATAGCATGCCATACTTTCTCTACTGCAACTTTTAAATCTTTTACTAAACTATATTGTTTGCCATCAGCATATAGTTCTTGAGTATATCCCAGATATTCTTGATTGGATTTAGAGATGGATTATTCAACAGTTGGATTTTTTTTGCTGAAACCAACTTTTTGTGGTGGATGAATGGACGACTATTGTCTTGCATAAAATAAAACTTTCTGCCTGCTAATTTTCATAAATTTTGAAGTAAAGTATTTTCAATTGACTCCTGATCTTTTTGAATTCATTCACCCATGAATGCAGTAGATGACTTTCTTTTGCAATAAATGGCACTCCACGCCATGATGNCATATATTGAATCTGAATAATTTGCATATATATATAATAAAATGAGGACTAGATATATTATAAAACCAGTAACTTAATTATATTTTAAAAGTATTGATTTGTATAAATATTTTATATAGGATTAAATAAAAAATTGTTTCAAACTTTCAAAAGCTACATTTATATTTATAATATTCAAATTTGCTTCCTGAATGTTATTAAGAATTATTAACTTTGGACAGTTAACAATTGACAAAGTTGTCACATTTGATATTTGCATCTTTACATCAGTAAATTATTATTATGGAATATAAGAGTTTTAGATAAGATATCTGGACATTCAACTTCTTTTAACCATAAAATAAATTGCTGTTACTATAACACACAATATAATACTTCCCACTACAAACAGGATTACACGATTCTGGATGACCCTAAAAATAATCAACATGTATAAATATTTTCATATTATTACAATTAATCAATAAAATTTCTTTACCTTCTTATCATTCCAGTTAAAATTCTTGAACTTTTTCCTAAGTCATCATCTGTTTCTCTTAACTACAAAATTTTAAACAGTAGTTATTAATATAGTACAGTTTATTGCTTATAGGCTATAAAAAATAAACAAACCTTTTGTCTTGCTTTTTGAATTGTTTCTCTTTGAGAATGCAGATCATTTAAAATTTCAGCTCCAATTTGTTCTGAACAATAAAAAATAATATCTATATTCTTAACAAACAATTATCATATGGTATTTATAAATTTCATAAAAGTATATTTAAATAGTTTAAGGAGAATAATTCATAAAAGATCGGTATAGATATACAATTCTTATATACTTATAGCAGAGTTCTGTCTAATTTTAAGTATATGCGATACTATGTTATTTATTTGACATTAGAACAAATGCATATTTATTCAATTATTTTAAAAAATATCACACAAAATGATAAATGATTTTTATAATATAGAAACTAAAAATTTCTTTAACAGAACTGTCATCTTGTCTATTTATCCTCCAAAAAAAATGATGTATCTTGCTATCTCTTAGATACTGTGTATCATAAAGTCTTATTACTATTAATGCATTATATATAAACACACTTAATAGAGTGTCAATTATCTAAAAAACTGATTAACCAAAATCAACTTCAGAGAGTATTAATTCCAGAAATTACAGTTTTTACATAATAACAATTGTTGATCTTCTATAGTTCCACTATTAAGATATTCATTACTAGTAATTTTACTATTAAATAATTTATTATTTTGAATTCAAAGTTGCATTAGTATGTTGTAGATTTCAAGAAAAGATTGTGCTTTTTTTAATGAATTAGTCAAATTTTTCATTACTTCTTATCATTCATATGTATTAAATTTCTGTCTTAACTGTTTTTTACTATTATATTAGAATTAAGATCAATATTTTTACTTAATTTATCTTTTCATTTTTTCTCCTATCAAGACTAATTATTTAAAATTTCCTGCCCCAATTATTTTGGATAATTAATGATCTATTGTGCTTTACTTCATAATTACTTATATATATAAACAAGATATTGAGATATAGTAATTCACAAACAGTAGAATTATCTTAAAACATTTTTTCAAAATATTACTATTTAAATTTCTTAAATAGGAAAATATGTCAAAATAACAATAAAAACAAGGAATCTTTAGGCTTTTGGCATTGTAAATCTTACAATTATTAAATTTTGTGTGTTAATATAGAAATGGTAATCTCAATAATTCTAGATCAAAAACTAATGCAAAAAAAGGAAATGCTGCTTGTAAATTATTGTTTTCTATTGGGTTGTTTGGAAAGTAATTTCGGTTTTTTCATGAAAAAGAAAACAACTTTTTAAACTTGGCACCCTTGAAAATATATTTTGTAATGGCCAGTAATCTCATCTTATGCAATTTTCATATTCGAATGTCACNTTAAATTTCATTCTTCTAAAATATTTTGTTAAAATTATTACAACCTTTTAAAAATTTATTAAAGTTTGTATTTTATAAAACCTTATATTTTTAACTGAAGTTTCCTACAGAATATAACATTCAATATAGTTCAACTAAAAAAAAAAATGCATACATTTAATATTACATCTTACCTATATGCACAAATTTCATAGTTATCTTTCTTAATTATCCATACCTTCCAAAAATGTATCTTCTGATTGAATTCTTGTTCTTCTTTTAACTTTAAACACATCTCTGGCCAGTAAAATGATTCATAAACTCATCCATATCACCAATAAATCATCTACATATCAAAAGTTAAAATTCTCTCTTTTTTCCTATCAATCAATTTGTGACTAGCCCTGATATTTGCAAAACTCTTGTTGTAATATATCTCTTGTATATATATATATAGTGTATATACAGTGTAGTAATTTGAAATATGCCTCTAAAATTCATATCTTTTTTAAAGAATTACTAAAAAAAGTATGAAAAGAAGGAGAGGTTCAAAAATTTGTTAGTGTTTAGTTATGAACCTGAAGAGTTCGAGAAAATTAACAACACAAATAGAATAAAGATAGTTTAAAGGAATGCCAAAATAAGAATCCTAATAAAAAGGAAGAAATGCTGCTATCAGAATCACAAGTATATAATCTGAATTTAATTTAAAGAATAGGATAAAATAAATAATTATATACTATTGTAATAAAAAGACTTTTGTTAGTATGATATCTTTCTTTGAAATTGGCTTCTTTTTACTCTTGAAAACAAATAAAATATATTGTAACATATACAACTGGATTTGCTTGCTACTGGTACTACTAATAAAACATATAACTAATGGCACATCAAATTAAGAAATAAACAGTCACAAAAAGAAACAATATTTAAATAGTGCTGCTTGCAGTAATAGTGATATAAATACACTTAGATTGACAAGATTGGGGTTTGAGTTAGTTGATTTCTGGCCCAAATTCTCAAATTTTTCTTATATTTATTCTAGATAACATAACATTATCCATTGCTTTATTTACCAATTTATATAACTTTATTAACTCTTTTATATAAGAAAAATTATTTTTTCCTAAATACAACAGTCTGAACAAAGCAATTTGTGAAAAGTCTCTAGTTACATTCCAAAATACCATTGGAAAAATGCCAGAATCATATGTTGATGTTTTGAAAAATACGCTGAATGTCAATAAACAAGATTTCCATCTTAAACGTTGTTGTCAGTAAGAGAGGCATTACAGTGTTTCACCAATATCCCCCATATCAGAAGCCTGAACATGCTTTCTGACATAATTAACAGCAGTCAATCAATTCTACAATTTACATAAGTATCAGAGAAATTTTAAAAAATATATAGCAATTTAGTATTTTTGTAATTTTTTTCTACCTTTTTTCATAATACATCTCTTTATTGCTATTTGTTATTTACTGTGCCATATCATAAATGTAATGTGTATAAGGTATCTGTAAAGAAAGTCCTACTTCCAATAACATGTAGTGCATTACATGGTAGATATAAAAAGACATATGAAGAATAAAAGTGAAAACAACATGCCAGATAGTTTTTTTACACACATGCAGCATTATTCAGACAGGTTGCTAATTTATCATTTTATTACTGGTAAAATAATTTTTCAAAATGTTACTGGTTTTACTGGTAAATGACCAGTACTATAATTTTTAAATTTTGATACCAAATGAAAAAATCAGTGATTGTTTAGTTGCTAACTCTTCAGTGAGTTGGCATCTAAACAATCACTAATACAAAGAAATTGCTTTTTGCCCTTGGTTTAATTAAATTAATTAAAAACCTACTAATGTGAGGTAGGAATAAGGACTTATCACACCAGTGATAATAAGCACAAACACCCAGGTATCAATGGAATGCATTTAATAAAACGAGAAGGGGTGTACATTAAAAACAATTAAATTAACAATTACCTTATTATTCCGCTAATTTTAATACTGTTTATAATAGTAACCCTTGTCAAGCTACCATGTAACATAATGAAGCCACCTTAAGCCTGTCTCCACTACACCCCCATTTATTGCTCAATGATCATACCTTTATAATGGTTCCTTTGTCTTGTATAACTTTAAGTATCTCACCTTTTTATATATGTATACCAACTGAAGAGGGACTATTCTGATAGTCCGAAATGCATTTTGGTTATTTCATGTCAATTGTTAATTTAATTGTTTTTAATGTACACCCCTTCTCATTTTATTAAATGTATTCCATTGATACGTGGGTGTTTGTGCCTATTATCACTGGTGTGATAAGTCCTTATTCCTACCTCACATTAGTAGGTTTTTAATTAATTTAATTTAATCACTAATACACTATGTCTAATTGAATACAGTTTCTTTTATCCATGAAGATATATAGAAAGCCTGAGTACCATCTGCTTTTTATACCAAGAACATAGCATGACTCTGTGCACTTTAACAGGTGGCATTCAGGGCTTTAGTATGAAGAACACATACACAATGTATGAGTATTGTGAACCAGCAAAGAGATTTGCTATTTAACTAACAAGTACGACAAGTAAGCTGAGATACAACTTGAATGTTATAACAAGCTTATATGAGAAAAACCAATATGATAACAAAAGTTCCAGCAATAGCCATCAAGCCAACAGGAACCGTAAAGAAATACAAGATCATGAAGTACAGTACAATTCATATTTACATAATATCTATAGGGAGACTTTTTAGTCCACTGATATAAATGTGTTTTATGGAAGAAATTCCAGTCTATACAAAATTCTGACAAATGACAAAGATAAATTAAACTGTAAGAAAATACTGGATTTATATAAAGTACCCCTGAAGGATGATAGAGACAAATGAGAACATAAATATGTTGGTACCACAGCAGGATCTTTATTGAACAAAATTAAAGAGCATAAGTATAATATTTAAAAAAAGAGTACCATCCAAGGCCCTCAATAAATATGGAAGTTATTGTAAAGTGGGATGAAGTCACAATTATAAGACCTTTGAGTGAACAAGTCAACCTGAGGTATATAGATGAAAAGGGAATTCTGATCATTGAAATAACCATTGAAATCTATAAAGATATAAAGGGAATTCTGTAAACTGTAAAAGAGGAAGGCAATGTATCTAAAACCTGGAGAACTCTATACGAAATACCTGAACAACTATAGATAGTGAAACAGAAAGTCTATATTGTTATGTGATTTTACATGCTTATTTTGTGTTTTTCATCTTATTGGTTTTAATATTGATAGTAAACTGTTTAAAGGTAATATCTGTAATTTATTTTTAACCAATGACAGTGTAAAACATATTTTGAAATAACTCAATATTCCATGTCATTCAATGTTTGAATTTATATTTGAAATGTTCCATTACTTTAACAGCCTGATGATGGCCTTTAGAAAGGCAGAAAACATTAGCATAGTTTCAATTAAAGAGTCTGTTAGAGTTATTGAAGTGTGTGCTGATTTATATAAAGTGAATTGACACAATTGGCAAATTTAGAGGACTGAGAATCTATACACCATGAACACCAGTGTGATTCTACCAAGTTAAACATCATTTGTGCCATGTCATATTGCAAATTATATGGCCCATTTTTTGTGGCAGCTATGATCACTGGCATATCTAATGTTAATATGTCAATAATTGGTTGATGCTGCAAATTGAATGAAGATTCTGATACAACAAGATGGAGCCTGCATCATTGTCACCATGAAGTTGGTATTTACCTCAGTCATGTGCTTTCAGAATGTTGGATATGACAAATGGAAAATAACAATAATGCTTTCATGACATGGCCCATGACCTGATTTAACCCCAACTTATGTTTTTTTTACAGGGTTACATAAAGGACTGATTGTTTGCACCATATCTTCCATGTAACTTGTGCAAACTGTAAATAGAGATTGAAGAAGTTGCAACCATGGTGACATCTGACATTATCCAAAATTTGGCAGGAGTTTGAATACCATGTTGATATTTGTCACATCACAAGATGCTCATACTGAGTCACTGTAATGTGAATAATATGAACCAAACCCTGGACACCTTACATTATAAGAATCATAAAACATCAACTAACATATCGTGGTATTTGATTAATAACTTTCTGAGTCAGATTTTCTTTATAGATACCTCTATGTATAACTGCACTTAAAACAACTGTTTGTTAACAATCATATTGACTAATTGATGATCAGAAAACAAAGTTTTAAGATTTTAAAATTTTAATTTGATAATGTTTGACTGTTATTTATATACAGTTTGTTACTTACAAATTTGTTATTTACATATAGGTATTTTATTGTTTTAGTTGTTTTAGGAAATTGGTACAATTTTGGATTGCAATACTGTATAATTTTTTATATTTAAAATAATGGAAAATAAGCTCTCAGTTAATGTTTTTGAACAGAATGTCCATTTTCAGGAATGGATTACTGACATTATGTGGGGATGCTTGTACAATATTAATCTTTTTCAATTTAATTCATTCAACACACAACTTTTTTCTTATGGCAGTTCTTTAGTAAAGTATAAACATCTTGGGTTACTTTAACTAATGCTTAAATTTGTGTATATTAATTCAACATAAAATTTGTTATAATAAAACTTTTTATTTTAATTAAAAACTTATATTAAAATATAATAAATATAGCTAAAAGGTGAATTTCATAATCAAAATTATAAAGCCCCAAGAACTCTCAGGACTTTAAAAAAGTGTTTTGGACACAGAACAAAAACATAGCCAAGACTCAAACTATAGTTAATAAGCAAGCTCAATAAAACAACTAAACATTGCCAAATTTCTTCTAGTCTACTTATAGACTAATAAAAAATTGAACAGATTACAGTGCATGAATAGAAAATTTACTTCCAAATATTTCTCATATTTATTTTACAGAACTCAATAGAGCTAAATAATTTGCAGTTATATTATTATTTCAGTGAGAAACAATGAAAAAATTAATTGAATATCTTTCTAAACTAGTTATCCAATTTGGTTTTTCTACTGATTTGTTTAGATAAAATTATAATTTACCAAAAAAGTTTGATGACTACAAATTTAGTTAATTTATAAATTAAATAGTACAAATTAAAACTGAAAATATGAAATTTTACAAGAATGAGTCAAGTAAAAAGTGAATTCTTTCATAGCAGTCTATCTTTCTTATAAGAAATCATGATTCACCAAACTTTAACATACCATAAATAATATGTAAGTATATTTACCAGCTTAAAATCTACTTAGACCAGTTCTTCAATAAGAAATTTCATATAACTTTTCATAATTTCATTAAAGCTTTATTTTCAAAATTCTACTCTTATAAATCTAAGTTCATCAGAACAAAATACAGATGATAACCAGATACCAAGATATATTTTTTTTTAAATAAAGGTTAATATTCATATTTTATTATTAAAACAAATCTTAATTCTCTCATAATTTTTCTTATATTTCAAGAAAACATTTAATAAAATTTTGATATTCTCAAAATGATTGTATACATTTATAATTTCAATTAACAATCCATTTATTAAGAAAATTGAAATTCTTATATCATTACTCTCCATGTTACAATTAAAATTAAATAATAAGTTAGAACTTTGTAAAAAATCATGATTATGAAATTGAGAATAAGACCCAAACATTATTATTATTNTTTACCTCGGCTTTCGGAGAAAACCGTCGAAGTTAAAAGAGTCTGGCTCGATGTCGTCTGGTCTTTGGCAATACTAAAAGAGGTGTCGTCTGAACACTTGGCTTCTGTACTGAAACCCTCCTTTTACCAAACAGAAATTGGTGAGCTACTTTGAAATATATCAATAATTTAACTGCTGTTTAATGTAGTTCATGTTTAACAGTGATTTAATTCATACTTTAATTTCAAATATTGTTAAAATATTAAATATTTTTATAATGTGTAGTAGTTATAATAATAGTCTTTCAACAGAATAAAATCATAAAGTAACTTCTACAGTATATCACACAATGATCTGTACACTTTCTTGTTTAGTAGCAGAAAACTGGAAGAAACAAATGTTTATGTAATGACTTCATTAGGTTTATGTTCAAAATATTGTACATTTTACAAATACTAATGGAAATACAACAGAAATATGTTAAAACTAAATGTATTTAAATATAAAAAGTAAAATATTCTATAATATCTTGCACAATTCTTAATTTCACAGTGAAAGGAAGATAAATACAATGTTAAGAAGTTACTTCCTTCCACAGTACTAGTTGCTTAGACATTGGAAGATTTGGTCAAGGTTCATTAGGATAAAGCTTAAGGTCACCAAGTGTGTCGGGAATAAGCACCACCCTAGACGGGTGGTGCTTATTCCCGAGACCATTGAAATCTATAAATTATTATGAAAGGAGAATGAACTCTTGTCAACTACAAGAACCAAATTACGATATAGTGTGCTTGTAAACCTTGGTTGAGGTCTACACAACATAATGCAACATTCATTTTATTACAATTTTTTGTCATCTAGTTTTTTTTTGCACATCAGCAGATTATAGATTATGTTTTATATTTAAATATGTTTGCATATTTCTGTTGTATTTCTGTTAATATTTGTAAATGTTTGAGTTATTGAACATTAATGTGATGAATGTTATTAAATATGACCAAAAACATCAGTTTTTCAGAGTTTAATAAACTTTTTTTTCCCTGCTGTACAAGGTTCTGTATAGTTAATTGAGCAATATGATAGAAGAGTAATTCTTCTATCATGTTGAAAGACTAATATTATCCTTTAATACGGATGACAATCCAAAAGTAATTAGAACTGTTGGTTGGAAAATAAGATGTGAAATTATTGATATATATCAGATGTTATACTATAATATAATATATTGATTTGACTCATGACATTTCTATGAACATATACTTAAAAGCTGTGTATGATGAAAGAAAACAAAGTGTAACAGTTCAAACTGGTCCTGTTATCTAACCATCTAATCTGTATTCAATAGAGTAGCATGATTGTCTACCTTTATACCAAATTTCTTTAACTAATGAATTAAATTAACCACAATGTAGCTTGATGGTTTAGCCTTGTGTTCTGAAGTCTGTCTGGTATTAGTTATAAAATATGTCTGTAAATTAGTTGTATTCATACATATATCATATATATTTAATTTGTTTGCATGCATAAAATGAATTAATGTATTTTATTATGTTTTCACTTCAGGAAATGATAGTTATCAGAACAATATTTTTCGACTGAAGTTATTAAACGTCAGATCCGTTGCAGTCATTGAACATCCTCTGGATCCTAAATTAATAACAATAGAGAAACCAGTATTCAAATTCACTCAGGTAATGTTTATTTAACGATATTTTGATTGCTGTCTTCATTTCTATAAAAGTAAATCCTTTATGTCTGAAATATAAATGGTGTCTAAAAGATTACTGTGCACTGGAAAAGGATTTAAGTAAAGTGAAGTATTACATACAATATTTCAGTTTCTTCTACTTCAAATGTCAGAAAGGACCCCAGAGGTCCCAGAATCCAGAGGAGTGAGGTCCAGAGACATAGACAGCCACAATCCAAGGAAGACTATGCAATTGGCAAAAAAGTCTTTCAAAAACCAGAGCAAGCAGTAATGTGATCTACTGCAACATGGAAATGGCAATGTGCAACTTACAGGTCTTGTATACAATGCCATATGTGTGATTATAATGTCATTATAGATTTCTCGCTGCACAGTAACTTTACAGATACCTTATATATTGTCTTGCTATTTATCATCTCTATAATAAAACATATATAAGGAACTTCTATATAAAATATGATGGGGTGGATTTAACACTATTTGTTGATTTTAGCTTAAAAACAAGCTTAGAAACTTAACACTTAAGCTTAGAAACTTAAAAATTAAACACTTAAAAAACTTCTAAATTTTTAAGTGTTTAATTTTTTAAGTAAGAAAAGAAGTAGTAGTAAAGAAAATGTTAAAATTTGAAGTAATAGTGTCAAAATTTCAATAAAAAATTAAACCCATTTGCTGGAAAAGTGTGAATGGTATAGATTTTACAAGTTATCTGTTCCAGCTTTGATATTGTATTTTAAAATTTCAATAACAACATTGGACAAGTTTGGTACCAGCACAATGGTATGCTATCTCATTTCCAAGCAGATGTGCATCAGTGTCTCATAAAATGATTCAACAACTGATGGAGGGACAATGCAGACCTCTTCCGTGGCCACACATTTTCTAGACTTGACTCCACTGGTTTTTTTCCTGTCATTCTCAGTGTAGTATTGAAGGCAATCATTTTGAACATTTACTCCAGGAAAGAAAAGCTAACTGTGCACATCAACATTGATATAAATGAAATCCTATGATGTACTGCATGCCATAATATGATAAAGATCACAAAACTCTAATGTAGAATGCGTATGTACAGGATCCCATGAAAGATGATGATTTTAGCCAGACAAATCCAAACATCTTAAAACAAGCATCAAGGCATTGCATAATAAAAAAAAATATGCTATGGAATTGCATCCTTTCCTAGAATCCCATATGATGCCGGGAAATGATGACACTTAATATGTCTGCATATGAGGGCAGTATCATGTTCAAACATCTTGATAAAATCATTTGTAGATATATTTGGCAGAGTGATTTTGAGCCACTTAAAAGAATTATAATGAGAAACAATCTGAATCAGGGAGGATGGAGTGTGGGATCTTAAAAGTCTGGAATACTCTCTCCAACTGGCTAATATGGTTAATACTATAAAGAATCAGAACCATCCTCTTCTCTCATTATATATTAGGTCCTATTGCTAAACATATTACTAAGAATCATGATAATTTCACCTTCCTTCTTGACAACTCTAGTAAATACAAAAAATGGAGAGAAACTGTTACTACCATAATTAATAATGACCAAATTGGTAATAAATTAAGGCCCAGTACCGTCTACACGAACATTCATAAGCAAAGCATCAACAAAAATCTCATGGATACTACAATTAATTGGAATGAGATCTGGATTAATGTTGGGAGGCTCCCTCTGAGTAGCGAGAACTCATATGGAGAATTCTGAACAACATCGTGATGATTAGAGAGTATCTTTAGAGTAGAGCTGGTAGGTGTAAAGATACACCCACCATCGTCTGTGTTCTGCCCATTGTCCTCGGTGTGTGATGACAATGAGAGTATCTTTCACATCTTTTTTGAGTGCCACATTGCTAAGCAAACCTGGCACTGGGTAGACAAAATATTTAATACCTGTATCTCCTGTAAGTTCTACTCTAATTTCCCTGTGAAAAACCAGAATAATTACTTAATTAATTGGGTTAGAACTTTGACCAAGAGGGTCATTTGGAAAGCGAGATGCGCCCTTATTTTTGAAAATAAGAAAGGGAACGCAATTCTTGTAATAAATAAAATTCCTGATGAGGCTAACTTCAAACTAAAAGCTGATCATGAGAACTTTTCTTATAGGGAACACAACACACTATACTTTGGCACTGAAAATATTATATGGAAAAAAGTTAATAATAAATTTGTATTTAATGATCAGTGGTAACTAAACTACTACTGCTTCGATTGTAACTGTAATCATTTACGCATTTTTATGTAAAGAATACAAACTTTAACTGTTATACTCATAAAATTATTTCTGTTTAATATGTAACCTTTGTATCAACTCTATAATATTTTGTAATTGTACAGTTTTTATACAAATTCTTTGTAATTATAATTGCCAATGTTTGTGAAATGTAAAAGCCGAAATATTAATGCTGTAAATGGTTTATTTGTAACTCACATGAAACTATATGATTTAACTTTTTTGTATGTTTGCTCTTGTTATGTATACCATTCTCTCATAATATCCACCTTGTATACAATTATATATATTTTGCTACTGTAAATACCTTGGGTATTATGACCATTTCATAATTTTATTGTTTTCTTATTTAATTAATGTATAAGCCATCTAAAACAATGTATGAGGTGATTCATAAATGTTTCCTGCAGATCAGTGTGTTGCTGATTTGTAATAATTAATAGTTGTAAATAAACTTTAAATTAACCAGTGTCATGTTCTGGGATGAAGGACATAGGATCCTCGATTAGCCTGATTTTATCATCAGTAATTGGGTTGAAATTTATGAACACAGTCAAATCATTTTGATACTAATGGACTATCAAATTAATGGTGGATAATGTATTTCTAGAATGCCATTCCTTAACAGTGACCATCCTTAAGCACGTGATATTGTTAGTATATAGGTTTTATGTTATGTTATCTGTATATTAATTGAAATAGGGTTTCAGTTTATATGACTTACGGTGTGATAAATGGCTAAGGCTAAAAATATGATTCAGGTATCAAATTTAAGTCCCATCCTACAGATGATCTCACTGAAGAGAGATTTCAGAAAAGTGCAATGGTTCAAGTGTGGCAGAGGTATAATATTAGGTCTGTTAAACACTATTGACAAGTTAATGGGAATGAACTTGTAGTTTAGGAAATGCAAAGAAGGTAACTAGCTGTTTATGTATGGCATGGCTTGGTCTTTGAGGGAATGGAGGATTGGTAAGGTTGGATTTGGAGAGGTTAATAAAAACAATGATCTTAGTAACTATTGGGTTGTTTGGAAAGTAATTTCGGTTTTTTCATGAAAAAGAAAACAACTTTCTTATAATATATAAATATTTTATTCAATTACATATTGACCATTTTGGTCCAATACCTTTTGCCATCTTTCTGGTAGTAGAATGATTCCATGCTCATAAAATTTCTGACCTTTGCTTGCAAAAAACTGATTCAAGTGATTTTTGACATCCTCATTTGAAGTAAATGTTTTACCATTTAAAAAATTTTGTAAAGATCGGAATAAGTAATAATCCGAGGGTGCCAGATCTGGTGAATATGGTGGGTGTGGTAGCACATCCCATCCAAGTTGTAACAGCTTCTGACGAGTTAGCAAACTTGTGTGAGGTCTGACATTATCATGGTGAAACACTACACCTTTTCTGTTAATCAATTCTAGTCTTTTCTGTTTGATAATATCACTCAATTTGTCTAGTTGACGGCAGTAGACTTTCGAATCAATTGTGGAATTGTCTGGTAGAAGCTCAAAAAAACAATTCCCTTAAAATCCCATCAAACAGAGAGCATCACTTTTTTTTTTGATGAATATCAGCTTTTGAAATGCTTTGAACTAGCTCATATTTTCTACTCCATGATCACTTGCGTTCAACACTGTTGTATACAATCCATTTCTTGTTGCCAGTTATGATTCGCTTCAAAAAAGGATCATTTTCTTGACGTTTGAGAAGCAAATCACAGATGTTAATGCAATGGAGCAAATCCCTTTCTTTAAGAGCATGTGGAACCCATATATCAAGCTTTGAAACAAAACCAAGATGTTTCAAGTGGTCATAAATGGTTGAATTGGACAAATTTAATCTGTTAGCGATTTCTCTTGTTATTTGGCAGTTTGCTTCAATCAATGCCTTTATTTTATCTTCATCAGCTTTAACTGGCCTTCCAGAACATGGTGCATCTTCAATATCGAAATTGCCAGAACAAAATTTTGTAAACTAGTTTTGGCATTGTCGTTCTGTCAATACATCTTCTCCATACACACCACACAATTTTTTCTTGCTTGAACATCATTCTTACCTTTTTGGTAATAAAAGAGCAAAATATGCTGAAAATGCTGCTTTTGATCTTCCATATTTGATGGAACACATAAAATAAACAATTGCACAAAATCCAACAAAATTTTTTACAAATAAGCCTTAAAATGCTAGCTGTCAAAATATATAATGATAATATGGTTTAGAATGAAAATGGCGGAAAAATACGACTAATCCCTCTAGTGGTAAAAAAAACTAAATTACTTTCCGAACAACCTAATAATAAGTTGTTATTAAAATTTTATCTTTAACAATATATAATGATAATATGGTTTAGAATGAAAATGGCGGAAAAATACGACTAATCCCTCTAGTGGTAAAAAAAACTAAATTACTTTCCGAACAACCTAATAATAAGTTGTTATTAAAATTTTATCTTTAACTTATAATTCAAATTCTATTATTTTATATTTGTTTGTTCCATTCAGAATGATGTAAAAAGGAATAAACATTCTGAAAATGTATAATATAAAACTGAATAAACGAATTGATATATGCCATTACAGTAAATTTCTTAGATAAATCAGCTTACATGAAAATATTAAATGTAATAAAAATATATTTTTATGAAAGTAATCTTGAGACAGAATAATTTTAAGTTTTTAAAGCAAGTTCTTGGTTTGAATGCAGTTATGTAAGTTGATGATGATCTGAAA